ACTCTCTTTTCTCTTTTGCTCTGCCTCTGCCACCTTCAGTCCGCCGTTAAACGGGCAACTTCCAAGACAAAATCCCTCAATCTCTCTCTTTCTCAACAAAGTAAGCCATTTCTGGATTTGGATTTTAACAAAACTTTTAGTACCACTGCTTCTAATTCATCATATTTTGTTTTGTGGATCAATCTTTAATTCCGAACTGATTTGAGGTTGTTGTATTTGTGACTTTGATCGTGGCAAATTCTCAATAGCTTTCCAGTGGTTGTGCTTGTGCAGTCGTTGCAGCCTCCAGGGAGTGGGCGGGTTATATAAGAATGAGGAAAGGTGAAATCTTTGATTCCTTTCGCCGTGAATTTTTTTTCCAATTGGCCATATTCAACTTCCCCGCGCCGTGGGAAGGTGTTCTCCCCTTGCGGCCTTGCCCGTGTGTCTTTTTGAGTCCCTGGTTTTCAATTTGGTGCTAATTATCATTCCATTATTAAGTCTAGCTTTTTGCAAATGATCGTAAAGATGTCCCAGGGAATTTTTACGAATATCTTTCTCCATTTTACCTCTTTATTTTTAACATTAAAGAGTTTTATTTCTATGCTTAATTAGAGCTCAAGTCAAGAGCTATAACTTTTGGAAGTATGAATTCTTTTTGAAAACTCACTTGCCGATTCTACAGAAACATTTATGTCAATATATGATCATAATCGAAATCTTTAAAAGAGGTAAGAAGTATCTAGAGAAAATAAACTGTGCTATTCACAAGGTTATAACTTATAATAGCAATAAGGTGTTTCTGTCAAAGATTTTAAAATTAACATTTTGGATAACTATTTTTAACATTGCCGGACGAGACTTCTTGATAATATTTTTCCAAGAATTTACGACTGAGTTGACTAAATAATGAAAAAACACAGTGCATACTAATTCTAAGAGGGCTTATCTATATTAATCAGCTGCCCCCATAGTCGTCTTTCAATGCCTACCTTGTTAACATCCACCAGTAAGATGAAAAAGCCTTTAAACTTGTACCATGTTTATCTAATAAATTCTGTTATTCACTAATTGCAGGATGTCATCTTTGCCAAGTAATCCAACAGGACCAAGTAGCACAGCTGATGAGAATGAGGTTGCCATTTTGGATTTGAAATAGATGGATGTGAAGGAAGATGATTCATGTAAGAAACCTAGAGAAAAGAAATTAACATCTAAAGTGTGGTTTGATATGGATAGAGTTAGGACTGCTACTGGTATTGTTGCCATATGTAAGCATTAAAAAAAAAAAAAAAAAGGCAGGGAATAGCTCATGTGGGACAAGCCATTTGAAAAAACACATAGATAATTGCATTGCTAGAAGACATAGGAGTGGAGGGCAGCAAGTACTTCAACTGGCTAAAAATGCTTTGGATGATAAAGTTAAAGTTCAAACTTTCAAGTTTGATCGAGAGAGAAGTAGAATGGATTTGGCTAGAGCTATAATAAAACACAACTATTCTTTTAACATAGTTGAGCATGAGTACTTTGAGATTTTTCTGAATAATTTGGAGCTAAATTTTAAGCTGGTTTCTCGAAATACAGCTAGGGCAGATGTTATTAGTGTTTATAAAGAAGAAAAGGAAAAATTGTATAAGTATTTGGATGATTTTGATGGTAAGATAAGTCTCACTACTGATATTTGGATATCAAATCACCGAAATTTTGCCTATGCCTGTTTGACAGCTCATTATGTCAATGAACATTGAGAATTGAAAAAGAAAATTCTTTCTTTTAAATCTGTTCCATATCCTCATGATGGTGAAACATTATTTAGATTTATTACTAATATCATCTTGGAATAGAACATTGGCCCTGTTTGGAAGTTTGGTTTTTTACCAAGTTTGTATAAAACTAGTTTTTTAACAAATTTTGCTACAAGAACCACAAAAAACTTATCAAAGTTTTTAACCTAACACACTTCAAAAATACACAAAAAACTTTCCCTTCAACTTTTCTTCTTTTTCCTCCCCCACCCAACCCACCACACCCTCCGGCGCCGGCGACAACCTCCACTACCACTTCCGGCGCCGATCACTATTCCGGCCACCAGTTTCGGCGATCCTTTTTTTTTCTCTCCCCTCCCCCTCCCCCGCCACCCTCCCCTTCCCCCTTTGCTCGATCTGGTCGTTGAAGCTCTTTTTTTTTTTTTTCCTTTCTCCCTCTCCCTCCCTTCTTCCCCTCTGCCTCCCCCGCCACCCTCCCCTTCCCCCTTTTGACCGATCTGGTCGCGCGACCAGATTGCAAAGGGGGAGAGGGAGGGGATCGCAGCTAGGGGAGGTTGAAGGGGGAGGGGGAGGGTGGCTGGGGAAGGAAGGGGAAAGGAAGGGCCGGTGGGGGAAGAAAGGGTTGGCGGGGAAGGGAGAGGGAGGGGTGGTGGGAGAGGGAGGGGAGAAGACAAAAAAAAAAAGAGGGTGGCGGGGTAAGGGAAAGGGGAAGGGGAGAGGGGGAGGGATAAGAGGGATGGCGGGGGAGGGAGAGGGGAAGAGAAAAAAAGCAAAAAAAAAAAATTGATTCTCACCTGTTGGTTGCTGCCATGGAGGTACCAGGAAAGGGATCAGGGGAGGGGAGGGGGAGGGAGAAGAGGAAGAAAGGGAGGAAGGAAAAGAAAAAAGAAAAAAGAAAATGAAAGAAAGAAAATGGAAAGGAAAAAAAAATTCATCTTACAAACACCCAAATTTTTACAAAAATTTTTCTACAACTTTTACAGTGATCTACAGTAAAATTTTATACAAACACCCAAAAAACTCACCTTCCAAACAGGCCCATTGATAAGAAACTGACCTCTATTGTTGTTGACAATGCATCTTCAAATGATTTAATGGTTAAATATATGAAATCATGGCTACTGGATAAGTCATTGCTCAATTTAGGAGGTGATCTTTTTCATGTTCAATGTAGTGCACATATTCTTAATTTGATTATGCAAGATGGGTTAGCTATTGTTGGAAAATTGCTTCATAAGATTCGAGAGACCTTAAAGTACTTGAAAAAGTCTGCTTCTTCTTATTAAAAGTTTGAGAATGCAATAAATCAATGCAAGCTGAAAAATAAAAAAAAGAGTAGGTATGGATATTCACAATAGATGGAATTCTACATTCTTGATGCTTGAGACTGCTTTGCCTTTGAAGGAAGCTTTTTGTCATTTAGAACAAATGGACAGAAATTACAAGCTCAATGCTTCAGAAAATGATTGGAAAGTGGCTAGTGTTGTTCATGGTTGTTTGAAAAAATTTTATGCAGCCACATGTCATTTTAGCGGTTCTAATTTTTCCACAGAAAATATTTTCTTTCCCGATATATGTAATCTTCGTCTTAAGATGAAGCAATGGGAAGTTAGTGAACATGATTTTATTCGAAAAGTGACTATTTCAATGAAAGTAAAATTTGAGAAATATTGGGAAGAATGTTCTTTGGTGCTGGCTATTGCTGTGGTGCTTGATCCTAGATTTTAGTTGGTTTTAGTAGAGTATTATTACAATGCTCTTTATGGAGAAGGTAGTGAAAGATATGTGGATAGAGTTCATACTGCTATTGCTTATTTGTTTGTTGAATATGGAGGTGAACTTGCTCCTTTTTTGAGTTATGTTGGAGATAATATAGGAGAAGGGACTTCTAGTTCTAATAACAAAACTATAGATGTACAAGATGATGATGATAAGTTGTTTGATTTTGACAAATGGTATCAGCAATTATGTTCTTCTACTATTCTTATTAGCCAAAAATCTGAATTGCAATCATACTTGGACGAGTCTATATTTCCAAGAAAATATGATTTTGACATCCTAGGTTGGTGGAAGGCAAACAGTCCAAAATTTCATATTCTTAATAAAATGGCTCGTGATATTCTTGCAATTCCAGCTACTATTGTGGCAGCAGAATCAGCATTTAGCATTGGCGGAAGGGTAATTGATGAAACTTGTGCTTTTTTGCTTCCTGATGTGGTCGAAGCTTTGATAACAACTGGAGATTGGTTACCTTTGAAAAAGAAAAGAAGTAAGTCCTTCATGTTTATGTTTCTTTTGTTGTTTGTTCTTTTTAAATCCATATTACAAGTTTGTTTGGTTGAGTTACTCTAGTAAGACTAATCTACTTTCTTTCTCTTTGTTTTCTTAGAGCTATTTGGAGATGATTTGGGTAATTCTTCTAAAGTTCTCAAGTTAGGGTGATGTATTTGAGTATGGCCAATTTGATTTCTTTTCTTATTTGATTTTTTTTGTATTAGTTAGTAATTAGTTTACAAATATATTTTATTCTTATTTTATTGCAGAAAATTGTGAAACTTGAGAGTCATGATAACTATTGTAATCTACAAGGCAGTAGGACTTCATTTGTTGGTTGATGTATTTGATATTTAATGTTTGATTGGACTTTTTAGAAATTATAATTTGTTGGATGTCATATTGGCTTTGTTGCTAATATATGAATTTGTAGTTTGTAGATTGATTTGTGGTTGGCTTTAGAATGGCTATTGTGAGTGGTTTGTGATTTAGATTTGTAATTTGTGATTGATTTTGAATAACTTTGTAATTTCGTTCTGATGTTGTAGCAAAAACAAGTTTTTTGATGGGTCTTTTTCTAGGTAGGCCCCACCCGGATCCGGGACCCGTCGGGTGCGGTTCTGGGAGAAAGATTAGGAGACCCGCTAGGTATTTGTGCCGGATCTGAAACTAATACAGTATGATGGGTCCGGGTCCGGATTTATTAATTTCCTCCCGAACCCGGCCTGTTGACAGGCCTAGCTGAGACTGTATCAAAATATGGTGTGCATCCTAGCAAGACGCAGATTTGGAGGGCAAAGACAAGGGCACTGGAAGAGATATAGGGTACACACTATGAGTCATATGCAAAATTGCCCAAGTATCCTGAGATTTTAAGGAAAAGTAACCATTATGCATCTGCAAAATTCAATTTTGATAGGCAAAATCACTTGGTGAAACCAAGATTTCTGACAATTTTTATTAGTTTCAAAGCACAAAAAGATGGATTTCTCAGATATTGCAAGCTATTGTTGGTTTGATGGTTGCCACCTCAAAGAACCATATGGAGGAATGTTGCTTAGTGCTGTGGCTTTGGATGGGAATAACAGCATATTCCCTCTTGCAATTGTTTTGGTTGAATGTGAAAACAAAGAGACTTGTTCATGGTTCTTTCATTTCTTTGAAGATTACTTTGGTCCATTTGATAACCAATTGCCTCTAATATTTATGAGTGATAGACAAAAGGTATATTTTGTTCTACTTACAAATGTCCTATTTCTACTTTCATATAACTTAACTGCCAATCTTCTGTTTGTTCTAATTAAATTATGTTAAATGTAGGGTCTTAACTTAGCATATGAAGAACTGATGCCATACGCTGATGCAAGATACTACTGTAGGCACATTCAGAGCAACTTTAAACTGTCCTTTTCAGGGTTGCTGCTTAATAATTACTTCTGGCAAGCAGCTAAGAGCTTTGATGCAACTGGCCATAAAGAGGCAATGGAGAAAATTAAAGAGATAAACATTGAAGTTTGGAAATACTTGACAAAGATACCACTAACAACTTGGGCAAGACACTCATTTTCTTCTGCTATAAAATGTGATTATGTGACGAATAACTTTATCAAATCTTTTAATGCATGGGTTGGTGATCTGAGGGGGTTGCCTATTCTTACATTGCTTGAAGGTTTAATGAGAAAATTCATGAAGAAACTATACAAAAGATTTCATAAGAGCTGTACCTACACAAGTGTTGTGCCACCTAAGATTGTGGAGAAATTGGAAGAAATTGCCACTCAATCTTGAAAGTGTGAGCTTTCTATGGCTAGTGAGACACTATTTGAAGTAAAGGAATTTGGCAAGTCCTACATAGCCAATATTCAGGAGAGAACTTGTGAATGTGGAGCATTTCAAATTTCAGGAATCCCATGCAAGCATGCTGCTTTAGGAATTATATACAGAAGAGAGAATCTTGAGAAATATTGTGATCCAATGTTTACAATTGAGGTGTACCAGAGGACATATTCTGGAATGAAAAATCCAATTTCTGATGAGAGAAACTAGCTTGATATGCCTGAGGTGACCCCTGCTACACTATTACCACTCCCATTAAGAAGAACACTAGGTAGACCAAAGAAGAATAGGAGGAGAGAAGCTGATGAGGATGCTTCTTTAGCTCAAATAGGAAGGTCCAAAACTTTTAGGTGCTCATTGTACCAATCTTATGGGCATAATAAGAGAACTTGTAAAAGAGTTCCAGTGAAAGCAAAGAAGAGAAGCAATGCTTCTAGCAATTAGGTTATGCACATTGCCTATATAACCTTTGTTCATTATTTGCTTTGGTTAATGTGACATTCTAACTGATTTAATGATATCAGATTCGTCAAAGAAGAGGGAAACTAGGTAAAGGATTGACTAATACAGGGTTATTTGGGGCTATACTTTGGGTACTACAATAGTTGTTGGATTCAAAATTTATTATGCCATTCACTATCAACTGTTACACTTTATATTTGAATGCAGGATCATGTTTCTGGAAATGTACTTGTTGTTTTCTCAAGTTAAGGTAGCAATCCTAATTGTCCAAATCAGGTATGTCTTACATTCATGTCCTTGTAAGTTGTATGCTGCTGTTAATTTATGGAGATACCTAAATGTTGGATACAATCAAGGGAAACACAAATTCTATATCTGCTGGAGCTCAATTAGGTTCTGGAACTCCATCTGCTACGGCTAATGTACAAAATCAATTCCAAGCTAGCCCAAGTGAAACAAAGAAGGTATAACTTTGTTCATTTCAATTTCATTTGACAGCCACATATATCTTTATATGCATATACACGTCTCTGGTATGATAAGAGAACTTTATAATTCATTTTTATTAGAAAGGAAGGCCAGCAAAGGCTAGAACCACAAGGACAAGAAACACTATTGAGAAAAGGACTAGTGGTACCCCCATTCATTCACATATGCCTTTTGGAGAAAATGCCCTTGTGGAAAGCAACAATGGAGCCTCTCAAACATCCAGAACTGTCACCATAGAAGTTGATGCAACTACTAACTCTGCCAATGTTAGTAGCTCCTTTAGCATGTGGTTTTAATGGTTGATCACTACATATCTAATTAGTAATTTATATAGTATTTTACTAAGCATGTAATCAGTGATAGTGGTTTGAATCTTTTGTACATCAAATCTCATGATGGAACTGATACCATATAGTCATCTAGTCACCTAAGCTTAGCACTCCTCACCATCCGGACAACTAGTCTGAGATGGTGTTTTTGTGTCCAATGAATTGCTTGGCAAACTTAAATCTGTAACTGAAGGTAAGGTGATACAGTTGCAACATTTACAATCCTAACCATCTGCAAAGCCTATTAAGATGTTTTTTTTCCCTTGGATTGCTCATTACAGGTATTCAATCAACTTGAGTGTATGGCCTTGTTATTTATCATATTTAAGACTTGTTTTAGTTTATTTTGTTTATAGTGCTTTTTACCACTTGCATATACAATTGTATAAGTGGCTCTGGAATTTTTTTGTTTTGAAGCATGGTAGATAAACTCCTATTAAATATTGTAGATGAATTTAAATCCACCATATCTTGACCTCGTGGTTCTACCACTATATAATTACCAAAGCTCAAGTTTTGGTGGTACATTCTTACAATTTTATCCAATTTTTCTTCCTTTTTATTGCCATTTTTCTTGCCCAAAAATTTTAACTCATTTTCTTGTAGGGTCAATGGGGCTAAACTTGGAATATAATTGTTTGACAAGACTGATTCATCATTTTTAAATTTACTTTTTATGACATGGACTTTATTTGTTAGCAAATATGTCAATCAAGGGATGGGTAGTATAATTTTTAATATTAGAAGGTATTTATGTGTAATTGTCAGAAACCTTGAGGGAGGTTTCTGAAATTATCCCAAAATGAAAACAAACCCAATCCCATAACTCAAAACCCTAGTTAAACAACAACAACAAATATGGTGTCTCATCATTACCTATTGTTTTATTCCTATTATTTTATTTTCTGCTCTCATTAAAAACCAATCCAAATTCCATTTCACATCCCATAAGTCTCTACCTTTATTTTCATCTTTCAAAGTTCTACCTAACTTCTATCATAGAATAATAACATTCTTTTTTAACTAAGGAGAATTGGCTATTAGATTTTGCTATACACACATATGCATATACATATATACATACATGTATATATGAATGTATGTATATGTGTGTGTGCATTTTCTATTTTAATCTAGGGGAGTTTGGGTCTTATTTGGTGCTTTCAAACAATAATATCAAGACTAATTTCCTTATCATGCGTCAAAAGTTATTAGATGTTTTCTCATTAGTCAAAAAAAAGTTAACCAAAATGCAAAAAAATACGAAATGTTATATTATGAAGTTGACAATCAAATCATAAAAATCTATAGTATCTAAAGATACTATATTTTGGGATGATTTGCACGTGAAAAACTTCAGTATCTTTTAATACAATATTTTGGGGTGATAAAATCACGTGCAAAGTACGTGAGGTGTTAGTTTTCTAAAATCTAAACGGGAATAGAACAATGGATACATATTGGTGGCTGCCTAAAAGGGGGATTGTAGTCCTTTGGTCGATGCTTGAGAGCTTGTGTGCTTGTTGGGATTGATGGCAAAAGCCTAACTAAACTCATTGTATAGCAATGCATTTTGGATTGGATCAAGATATTACAGGTTTAGCTCCTTGTTCAATTGAAACCTTAAGGTTGCTACAAGTGTGGAATAATTTTGCAAGCACCTATTACACTACTGCCGATGGACCGAAGACTTCTTCAACGTCTCAAATTCAAGGCAAGTATTCATGACCAGTTGTGGCAATTGGAAATTCAAGAAGTGTAAAACCCCGTAGGCAACTAGTAGGAAGGATCATTAACACTGGAGATTTAGATTCTAAAGGACATGCACATAAGTCCAGAGATGACAATTTGATCCTATTCCATGAGTCATAACCATCCATGGAAGTGGAGGCCACAGTAATTGCACTTTCAAATTTAGGTCAGAAATATTGGCAAACAGGCAAGCTTGCATAGGAGCAGGAAGAAAGATTTTTGTTTGTTTTCTATTGTTTTATATTTTTGTCCCTATTATTCTCATTGTGATGAGATAGACAGTACTAAAGTTACATGTTAAATACAATATATTACTTTTGCACTTGTGAAGAATCAATAGATTTTGTTAGCTAATTATCAATTAAGTATTGTCTGTATGAACTTTATAATGAGTTCAAGAATTGTAATCAATTTACCAAAAGATAAAACTGCAAAAGCCTACTATTTATAACCACCATTTTAACTGTTTAATTTGAAATTCAGCATGTTGCAATACTGAATGACTAAATAAAGTGAATAATCTTTATTAGGTTTTCTTCTTCCTTGAGTAAAGGTACTTGAAACGATTTAATTTGCATAATAAGGTTACAATAATCCAAGAAGTCAAGATAAATTGTCTGATGAGAATTACACAAATTAGAGGGTCCACTCACTAATTAGTTTGTGTGGAAAAGTTGTTTTGTAGTTGAGGAAATAGACATAAACTAGAATCTAGTGGATGACGAATTTCTAACTTTTTTATGGCTAAATTATTTTGTACATTTAAAGAATTTAGTAAGAATTAGAATGTGCAGCATTTGTGGTTAAATGTTTACTACTCAAAAAGAATGTAATTGGTAACAAATATTCTTGTGCTTTATAAATTCTCTGATATTTCATGTACATTATAGATATAAAGAATCAAAAACAATATATGTGATGATATATACCTGAGAGTTATATAAAATTTCTCATTATTTTTGGCTTGTATGCAAATGTAACGTCTACCAATCTAGCATATAATTATATCACTACTTTCGGAGGTCCGGCTTACATCCCATCCCATTTTTTTAATAATTAATAAAATCTTGAAATGGCATTTCTTCCCAATTTACAAGTTTTACCTTTATACATATTTAATCACAGCACTCTACACAGCATTTTTGGTCTGAAAATGCTTCTATTAGCTTTGTTGCCAAACTTAGCCACAGTCTATATGTGAGGCCAGAATCTTCTACCAAGTAGTACAACCATAGAGAAGTTTTGGACTTAAAATCTAACCATTTCCTTTCTTATATAATTGAATAACTTGTTTGAACATGATCAAGCTCCAAGATGGGAATTAGGGTGCAATAATTGTGCAAGTAGCTATCTTTGTGAGCCTAAAAATGAGTTTAGAATTATATTCAATTTAGCAAAAGATACAACTACAATAGCCCCTTAATAACTACTATTTCAACTTCAAATTTCAAATTCAGAAAGTTGAACTATTGAATGACTAGCTAAGGTACTAAGCAAAGGATCTTCATGTGAGTAACATATTTGAATAGCTCTAGAAAACAATAACAACAATTTAGTTTGTATATTAAGGCCAAAATAGTAAAAAAAGAGTCGAGATTAATTGTCCAACAAGAATTACATAAATTATAGGATATACATAAAATAATAAAGTAAATGTCCACTTATAAATCATTTGTTTGAAGAAAGTTGTTTTATTGTTGAGAAAATGTATACATGTTAGAATCTAGTGGATGACAGAGTTCATCCTTTTCATATTCAAATTTAACAAACTAATAAGAATTAGACTCTAAAAAGTTCTTTTAAGTATTCACCATCCAAAAAAATGTAGCTAGTGAAATATGTTAATAGTTCATAAAAATGCCTTATGTTTTTCCTATACAAATGTAACGGCTTACATACATCATAGGTGATGAAATAGAT